CCAGCACCCACCGCGCGACCTCGTCGCAAAGCGCAGCCAGATCACCTGCGCCAGTAGGCAGCACTCCTTCCAGCAACAAAGAGCGCACTTTGACCATCGCCTCTGCAGTGGCCTTCGTCTTGAATTTCTCAATGGCATCTTCTGAGTACTCTTGCCGGAATATGTACGAAACAGTGCCATCCTCCCCCGCACTCTTCCGGAAAAACTCCGGGAGCGCGAGCGCCCTCTTGGCCTCCTGCTGTAAATACTTAGACCAATGACATGATGGGATATCATACAATGGCTCCGTACTTCGCCTGGGCCGCTCGGCTCTTGCAAAGCCGCTGCAAAGCAGAGACAACATCTCCAGCGGGTATCCTGGTGTGCGTCAGGCTAGGCCGCAGCCGACTGCCATGCCACCGTTCTTGAGCTTGAGTGCCCGAGTAACTTCCTGGCACCGCCAAAGCGCCACACCACCCAGCAGCCCACTTGTCTTCGCTATCCTTGTGCATGTAAAAGCGCTGAAAGCTCTCTTTGCATGCACCTTCTCCGCGCTCGTCCATCCACTGGTAGATGCGATCCCACATTTCACTGAAAGCGGGCCTGGGCAAGTGGCGGGAAGCCAACACAGCCTTCTGAACCAGTGGCAAAAGGCCCTTGTCCCGTAAGTTCTTCTCTGCAGTCTTCCATGCTCCAGTCCGCCAGACCACTGACCGCTCGTCTTGAGCCTGCCACAGTTTGCGAAAACTGCGGCTTGGGATTAGCCAGCTTGACAAAAAACGTAGCCACAAAGCACGTCGTTTCAAGGTCGCAAAGGGCCTTGCCCCCCTGAATAATATGAACGAACCCCTCGTGCATTTGTCACGGCCCCTTCCCCAAGCCGCAAAAAAAAACAACGAATCAAATTTCAAGCCAAATTGCCAGGCAAGCCCTTTTGGTATGAGTCAGCTCTCTCCACTACAAAGCCCCGCTGTGTCCTACTAGAATCCAAACTGAGACAGAGCCACATTATATAGAGGGGCAGGCCAGGAAAGTAAAAAATGGACTCTTTTTTAGACCTTGTTGACCTTGTCGGGGGGGGGGGGGGAAATACGGGGTGAACATTATCAGGACCACGGCTCCAGCCCAGCCTGTGAAGCATGCACCTTTGGACGCACAGCGCCCACAAAGTGCGCCCAGTCCAAAGCCAAGAGCGCGTGAGGCAGCACTGATTGGTGCATCGCTGCTGCCGCCGCACTCAAATCCACATGAAATTGGCCAACGCGCTCCAGAGCATCATCCACGCCGCAGCAAATTTTCATCGCCTTGGCAAACGCATCAATAACTCGCGTATATGATATCTGCGACTCCGTCTTTGCGATGGCGAAAATAACTTCGTGAAAGCTGGTGGCCCAGTTGTCCTCTCCGCGGTCGCATTTGTCTGCAGACCAAGATTTCGCCAGAAACCCTAAGCATATCAAAATGTGGCCCTCGAACACCACTCGAAAGACTCCGTCGCCAGAGATTCTCAAAAATGTCTTGTTGCACATTCGAGACCACCACAGGCCTCAGCAAGAAAGAAATGCCGATCCGCTCGCCAACCGGTCAACCCGAACTCACAAACCAGAATATATATATATATATATAAATATATATAAATATATATATTAATATATATATATATATATTTATACATGATTTGTACACAGTCTACACACAAATGGCAGAAGACGAGGCACGCAGAAGCCGCGGCGAAGTGTATGATATCGTCAACTCGGTGTCAAGATGGGCTTCAACTAGACACAGGTCATGCTCGTCCGTGCCGCCGTGCTCTTCCAGCTTCGGAGACGTATCAGCCAGAAGCTCCCAGTCTTCAAGGTTCCAAGAGCCTTGCGATAGCCATTTAGCACCGGCTCTGACCTGGCGCAAGGCCATACGCGGCCACCCGCCCCTCTAGTCTAGTGTACTACTGTATCCATCTCCAGCGATGAGCCTGACAAGGTACTACCGTTGAACACTTTCCAAACTTACCAAATGGAGATAACATCACAAATAACCTTGCACCCTCTCAAACAAACCAATCAATGCCTTGAGTAACAAAAAAAAACCAGCCCGACTCGTCTGAAACTTGCTGCGCTTGCTAATTTGGTGAAAGCCAAACAATCCTGACTCCACGAACGGCCTTTCAGCCTTGAGGGCAAAAAACAACGCGGAAATGAGCAGCAGTTCTGGTTTCTCTGCTGCGACCCAATGGCCGCAACGTTAGTCTTGAACCCGCACAGATCGATGCACCGGTCTGCATGAGCAACCACATATGTGAGGCAATCAGATAGCACAAGATCGAACAAAGCCAGGGAGAAGAGCCGACACCAACTGCGCGCAGCCCGAACTACTGATGGATCGACGCGCGCCTCTTTGTCGCGCTTTCGAATGTTCTTGACAAAGTTCACAACTGCGTCTTCTGCTGGGGTTTTGGGCTGAGTCCGCTTTTTGGCAATCTCCTGCAAACAAGCGGCGGCGGACAAACTGCAACTGTAACAGCTTTACTTCTTACCCAGCTGATGTTAGGCTGTCACAACCAAACACACTCCCAAACCGCTGCAAACGGCTTTGAGCAACACAATAAAAAAACATGGGTGCGGTTGGCCTGGAGAAGCTGCTCAATGCGGAAACTCTGCTTTGCCAAGAGATACTCGCAGATCAATTTCTTCGTGGGCACAGTCAGCCCATGCGCTTCTTTCTGCGAGCGCGTCCTCGGCAATAATTCACACTGAGGATGGCGAACCAACTAGCTGAAACGATAAACATATGCAAGGAAGGCGACCTCCCGAAAGTGCAGCTGCAGTAACTGGCGATGGGAACACACGAAACTGCATTCATGTTAAAATTATCCCGGCAAGAGACCCCAAATAATTAGTATTGGGTTCAATTTGACGACGGGTGGCCCGGAAGCGTCGAAAGACGTTAAATAGACCCTGACACCTCGCCCACTGCAGATGAGAAGCAAGCGTAAATCTACACATCAGTGTCCCTTCGTAGCTTCTGCAAGTTCTGATGAGCAAGCTTGGCATCGCGCTTCGAACAACCTATCCTGTCAACTTCTCTTGCGCGCAACGCTGTGCTTTGACTACTTTTCGTAAAAAAAAAATGCGATTTTCAAGCCAGAGCCGCAGCTGCGGGAATGGACTTCGAGCACTATTTTTGTACTTTAAACTTGCGACGTTGCAGCCGGAGCTCTCTGAAAGCTCTTCGCGCACTATTTTTGTACTTAAAACTTGTGATTTTGTAGCCGGAGCTGCGGGAGTGCGCTTCGCCTTTGGCGCGAGGCTTCATCAAAAACACAGCGCGAACCTCACACGCACCAGCGCGTACCCACGTCCCTGCCAGCAAAAAATGCATTTTTGCTTCAAAAAAAAAGCGTTTGGCACGAGGCTTCCTCAAAAAACATAGCGCGAACCTTCCAACTGTTTCCTGCCAGCAAAAAAAATGCGAACGGCACCATAACGGGACGCACGCGTCAGCCCACGCCTCCATTTCGCGCGAGTCAGTCGCGGCGAAGACAACTTTCTGCGCACAGGGCCAGCGATTTGAGCGCGAACCTCGATCTAAGCCGGCCTTAACTCTTACCGTCAGAACCCCTGCGTGTAAACAACATCTGCGGAAAAAACAAGATGCACGCCAGTGCTGCCAAAACTCTTGCTGAAATCTGTATGACAAGATGTGGGCGTGGCCCTGATGGAAAGCGATCTCTGAGATGGGAAATACGATGCCCAGCCGCACCAAGTGCACTTACTGCACGTCATACACCAAAACTTCCAGTCCATCGTCCCACTAGATCGCTTCCTCTTGCTCGTGGACACACGCACGTATTGCTCCTCTGTACAAGCAAACGCGGAGATCTTGCTGACCACCTGCTTTTCCGTCCACGGGTCGCCGTCGTGCGCGACCGTGGACTTCACCGTGTAGATGTCTTTTTTGGACTTCACCGTGGACTTCACCGTGGACTTCACCGTCGCAGCGGCTGCGGATGGCCGCTTGAAGGCGGCAGGTCGCTTCATGATGGAGGATCCATGGACAGAGCTATCGCCGAGCTGCGCCCATCACATCTCAGTCGGTTTATTAACCCTGGGTCAACATTAAAGGCATCAGGCAGAATAATTTCCTTCTGGAACCTGTAAAGTCGATGGAGGGGACATCTGGCACCACTGACTGACCACACCGAATCCCATTAGAACACACATGTTCAAGTGTGAAGATTTCCTTCAGATATGGTCCACAGGGCAGCAAGTTATTGGCTTGATTTGAGCCACGGACATGTTGTTTCTCCTCAAAACGACATTTGAACATTGGGTGGACCTCTGGCTAACCGCCGACAAAGAACACGTTCCAAGAAGCATGCACACTTATCACGACACATGTGACCACACATCGAGTCCATTATCATGCCTGTGAGCCCAAAAAACAATGAATGCACAAACGACCCCAGGATTGAATGCACAGACGACACCAGGATTGAATGCACAGACGACCCCGTGACCCCTCCAAGCTTCCATTTGCATTCTTCCCCCCCTGCATTTTTGAGAAAAGATATAAATCCCCTTCTGGCCCAGTGCTCCGAATTCTTTACGAATGCCGCCGGAGAAATTCGGTTAGGAAACCCAAAGGAACCAGCCTCAAACAAACACACTGCAGATCTTCAAGCACCACTTCCAACACCTGAAGCAAGGCTTGGGTGCTCTCTGCAAAAAGTTCTCAACTTCTTTGTGGGTCCAGTGGACAAAATTGTCCGTTTCCCAGCAAGTTTAAGTCCAAAGAACCAAGCAAATAGGCATAAAGAAGGCAGCCAAGCAAAAGGGTCACGTACTGTACGCGATCTGGGCTGCCCTCAGATCCGCTGCTAAAAGTTTGGTTTTTTTGTTACTTCTAGTGGGTCAAATGGAAACCCAACCACTAAACACAGGTCTCAAAAGCGTTGAACCGGATGGCTAGCCACGTGATGGCGTCGAGTTTTGTTCCCCCGAAATCCATCCGTCGATCCGCTCCTTGCGCCCGGCGGCCGCGTCCTTCTTCTTTTGGAGCTCCATGAGGTAGGCCACGTCCTTCTCCTGGTCAAATTGTTCGACGGACTTCGCCGGGTGTTCTTCCTTCCCCCCCCCCCGTTCTATATATATATATATATGTGTTTTTCCGGATTTCCTAAAAATGCAGCTACTTAAAGAGGCATAAAGAAGAGTGAACGACAGATTGTGGTCCAGGAAATGGGGGGGGGGCCCTTGTTTTTTTTCAGACGTCCTCGACATGCAGCTACTTGAGTGAAAGACAGACTATGGTCAGGAAATGGGGGGAGGAGTGTCCAAACCCCCTGATTCATAACCCCCCGACGGCCCGACGAGCGGGGAACTGAGCGGGGAAAATGCAAATGATCGAAGTTGGATTTGGGTTGGGACCATTCTAGCAAACCCTTACATTCGGGTGAATGGACATATGCAGTTCTCAGTTGGCCATAGAATCCCGACGGCCCCCGCCGTTTTCCTAAATGGGTCCTGTTCCTTCGGGGAAGCTGCGGAACATCCAGCCGGGCTCCATCCCCGCCCCCAGCCTGCAGCTTCGAACATCAGAGCCCCCAGCTTGGTGTGTGAAGCTGCCCGAAAAACGCACCAGACACCTACAAATGGCCGTAACCAGGCGGGCTTCAGCTGGTCCATCCTGAAAAATCAGGGACAGCTGGGGAATCGGTCCATCCTGAAAAATCGGACACACCCATATGGGGGGGGTCCATCATGAAAAACAGGGACACACCCCTATTTTTTTTGGGGGGGTTCTCAAACTGGTGGACCCCTTTGGGTGGCTTTTAGACTTGCTTGACGTTGGAAGGGGAGCAAAAAAATAATAATTAGCAGTTAAGTGGGGATTTCTCACTAAACCACAATAAGAAAAGATGTAAAATGTTTCCCAACGACAACCATGTAAAGGGAAGCCAAAACGAGCCACCCCAATTGACCCCCCCCCCGTACCAGAAAGCACCGCCCACCCGCAAAAACACGCCCACACGCCGTTCCTCCCAGGTCTTCGAGTCAGGATCTCTGACCTCCGCAAAGGGAAGCCATGCGTCGGAATCCGCGGGGAAAAAAATCGGCCGGGGGTGTCCTAAGCTGTGCTTTTGGTTTCCCTTTAAGCTGAGCTTGGCGGGGTTTCGAAACCCAGGGTTCCCTGGTAGTGCTTTTGGGTTTTCCTGTCGGGGCCTCGGTCGACATAGGTACACATGACACCTCCAGTAGAGAGGTTAGCATAAGGGTGCCAACATTTTTCTGAAGACTATTTTACTAGGGGAACCCTCCCCCAAAAAAAGGGTAAAACTGGGGGACCTAGTTTTGGTTTCCAGCGCATTAAGCTGAGCTTCCTTGCAGGGTTTCCAAGTAGTTCCAAGGGAAGCCAGGATTTCCGGGCTGTCCGTGTTCAGATCCCCTAACAGTTTAACCTTCGAGTCAAATGGAAACCCAATCAGTAAACCAACCAACAACGAACCACATGGCTGGACAACACCAAGCTGTGGCCCTTTTGGCTATAACTTCCCTTCCACGTTGCCATGGCCACCTGACAGTCCGACAGAGGGCCCCGGAAAAGGAGGAAACTGATCTTCCAGTGTCACGGCAAGGTGGGAGGAAGGGTACCCGCTAAACAAACAGAGACGACCTCCTGAACCTCGGGATTCAAAAGTCGGGCCAGAAATCGATCCATCTATTTGTTTGGATCCCTAATCATCCGTAATCTGCAGTGGCACAACAAGAGAAAGCCACTAGCATCTGGCAGGGTTCAGGATTGACTTGGAACAACCCATATTTCTAAGCCACACCACCCCATTCTGAAGAGCTAGCCCAATTATCCCCCAAAATGGCTGCAACAACAATTGCCATCAAAGCAGTCCACCCAAGCAAGGCTAAAACTCAACAATTCACAATTCTCTCCCTTTGCCGAATCCCAGCAGCCCACCAGGCCTCTCCCAAGCAGGGGCGGTCAGCCTTGCCCTTCTTGTTTTGCCCACATCCATGTCATGAATCATTGCCAAGGCGACACTGACAAGCATACAGCCCGTGGCTTCACGGCAAGCATTGAAGCATCCTCCTGATGGCACCGCGGGCCCCTCATCAGCCAACCCACCAAAGTGGTGCCCGCGATCCAATTTTCCACAAGCTTCCAATTCACTTCCTCATTCTTTGAATGGGGGCCCACGCAGCAGCCCACGCAGCAGTTGTCATCACTTTCGGGAGGAAAGACCGGAAATCCTAGAAAATTGGATGCTTGGAAAGAATGGGTTTTAACCGAAAATATGGCCTCATACAATACTTCCCCATTCTTTCTGGTTTTCCAATTTTCACCCAAAACAGATGCAAAAGCGAAAAAAATAACAACAGGGACACACTGATCTTTGATCGAAAGAACGATGCTGGGGGACAGAATGATGGGGTGGGGAAAGAAGGGAAATGATGATGGTTGTTGGGAAAGAACGATGGTTGGGGAAAGAACGATGGTTGGGGAAAGAACGATGGTTGGGGAAAGAACGATGGCCCTGGGGAAAGAACGATGGTTGTAGGGAAAGAACGATGCCCCTGAAAACAGAACGCTGCCAGTAAGATCGATGGCCTGCAGCGGCATGACTTTGGCAGGTCAGGGGAAGGGGTTGTTTAGTCTATTGGCCCTAGGCCTAGCCCGCAGGACAACTTTCTGCATGCGTCAGTGCTCGCTGCAGAAAAAGTCAAAAACTGAGCCGAAACCGGCTGGAAAGACCGATCGTTGCACTGAGTGCGCGTGTGACGAAAGAATGGGGAATCAACCCTTAGAATATTGAGCAACCTGACCACAAATCTCATCCAAGAGGTTTCATGGGAAGTCAGCCCCAGTTTCTAATCTCAAAGTGTTTTAACGGGAATGGGATGTTCTGACCAGAATCCGGTCGAAAAAAAACAGAGGCAAACCCACCAGGGGCCGCATGGGGTGAGACCTTCGTGAATAGCCCAGATGAGTCCCGGGCTATGCCCACCCCCATAAAGGAAACAGGAACCCTCAGGTGTTTGGAGCCTAAAAACGCAGCCCTGGGCCTACCTGAGCTCCAAAAGGGGACCTGTGATTGGAAGAGCTTTCCATACCGTTGGTGTATTGACTTGTAGGGGCCACGGGCAGGTTGCGCCTGGGTGCCTTTCAGGGATGGGGCCTATTTTGCTCAAGGTCATATCCGCAACGCTGTGGTTGGAGTCTAAAAAAAAAGCCGCCCTGGCGACATAAGCCCAGCTCGCTCGGATCACTGGATATAAACCTCATGGGTGGCAGCCCCTAAAATCAACCAGGGGCTACTTCATCAACCGGGGTTCCCATTGGCGGTCATGCCTGGCTAGTACCCTGGCTGCGTTTCCCATGAGTAAGCCAAGGTTGATAACTGATGGGACCGCAGGTTCACCCCGTCTGTGGGCTCATAAAGGGGGGGGGGTTGTTCAAAATAGGGGGACCCCAAATTTTCGCTTTGGCTTCCCTACACAAACTGAAAGTGACTCACCATGTTGGGGAACCTCCGCGTCAACAAAATGAGGGCCAAGCACTTGGAGAACGCCTCTTGATTCGAGGGGTGGCTCGCAGAGCGGGCAAAAAGGGCTGGCTTTAGCTCGCTGTAAAATGGTGAATGATTCTTCCAATGTTTCCAGAACCTCGTTCTCCCCATACGGCACACTTTGCTTAGACTAGACGCCAAACAAAACATGCGGCCATTGACCCTATGGCTCCTTCGCGCAGAGGGAATCTCCTTCTGCGGCTCATGGTTCCATTAGGAGAAACCAAGATCATCCCCTATGACCCATACAAACACGGCCATGGGTCAACATCCTGTACCCCCAGTCAACATCCCAATCCCCACTAAAATTAAGCCTAAAATGGGTGGTGAATTCACCTACCAACCAAAATGGGATCCCAAAACGGCTTTGACCCACAGCCACACATCGGCGTGCGGAGGTCTTTCCTGGTAGCCCTAGTTCAGCCGCCCAAGGATTAGGAGGGGTTCAGCAAGGCTTGTCTGCTTCCTTTAAGTCAACGAGCCCAAAAGCCGCGCTTCACCGTTCCACGTTGCTTGCACAGCAAATGGGCGTCGCTTTTTGAGGCTACCCGGCTACCCTTTATGAGGTTGGTTTATAGGGAAACCAAAGGGAAACCCACCCCATGTTGGGAGTAGCAAAGACACACCCAAATTGAATGGCTCATGATTGGCGCGATGTACTTCACGAACGGAATCCACAAGGCTTTCCACAAAGGGACCTGCTTGGGGCCACTCGTTCTACCGGGAACCGTTTGCTCTGGTCGGTAGATTGACTGCCGGATAGGAAACTCGGCTGGGTGTTATCAAGACACCCTTGGTGTCTTTGTGGGCTTCCCGTCAAAACCGACCACAGGGCGGATCACGGGGTTCCCAACAAAGACACGCCCATATGCTTGCTTTTCCTCAAAAGAGGTCCCTCGTTTTGCCAATCACGGCTTGCTTTGGCCAAGACGCTTTCATCCTCTGCACATCGGCTTCCGTGTAGCAGACACGGCCCGTCTCGGCAGCCACCCACACCTGCATACTGCCAGCTTGGGATGGGAGGCTTGAATTGGGGGACCTCAGTTCGGTTTCAGCCAAAACAGCCACCCTAAACTTTCCTTAGAACTCCAGGGATAGCCAGCAAAATTCGCACGTGCCACCGATTGGAAGCCAACAATACCAGCTAAGAAGGCCCATGCACCCCGCAAAACGGGGCCCGTGGTTGAAGGTGCTGCGGACATGACCTTGAGCCATCCCTTGAAGGCAGGAGCCAGGTGGTTTGGTGTTTGAGGGGTGGTTTCCCATTTACCCTCTACAAGACCAAATCCAGTTCTAAACCACCAGGCTCCAAACCACCAACGAATCAGGTAACCTGACAGATACTTGCAAATGGCCCTGTAGCTGTAAAGGCGAAACAGTTCCTAGCTATTTAGACGAAACCAGGGCGTCTATGGCCCTTCAACTCACCGCTGACTTGTGGATTGAAGAACAGGCTTATGGGGGTTTGCCGGGGTCCAAAAAAATATCTCTCCGACTGCCCGGTAAAAAAAAACAAAAAAAACTATGTTTCAACATTTTGGAGGCCCTTCAAGCACTTCTTTGCCGGGTTCCTTCTCAAAAAGTTGCCAAGGACTCTCCACGACCCTTCAAAAGGGGTCAGTATCCTCAAGTTCTTAGCGTATTCGCCCTGTTTGCAGGGGTCAGAAGCACACTCCAGGTGAAGGAAGATCCCTTAAAAGTGACCCGGCCCAGAACTTCGAACCCCGTCCCATCCCTGGGCCTTATGGTCTAAGCCGACCTGGTCGAAGTTCGCGTACTCCTGTCGGGTTGCAAAAAAAATGAGGTCCGCGCCTGAAGAAACTGGGCGTTTTTTTGGGGCTAACCACCTCAAGCCAGGGGTGTCTTTTTGCTACCTTTTGTGATAAAATGGCCGACCCCCTGAAAAAGAAATCCTTCACTACGAGGAGGAGGTCGATCAATTGTCCAAAAAGGGTGGCAGAAAGACCCCTGCCCGAGGAGGTCGATCAATTGTCCACAAAAGGTGGCAAAAAGACCCCCCTGCCAGAAGCCACGCGTCAGCTCCAACGGCCGTTGGACCCGTTTCGGTGACAAAGAAAAGAGGACGCGCCTTTCAAGGGGTCGCAGGAACCACTGGAAGGGCACGGGTGCTAGCTTGACACGTCCCCGACTCTGGCGGCTCACTGCAGGGGAAGCACCTGGGAATCACAGCATGAACGAACATGCACGCTCAGCACGAAGCAGTCAAACATCTGAACTCAACACTGAAGACTTTTGGGCAAGCGAATCTTTCGCGTGCAGCTAGGACAGCCCGAAGCCAGGGCAAAACAAACATGCGTGTCGGACGGACTCAACGTGCATCGAACTGCCATGTCAGAATATCTTTACCCACCCCAGCCCAAAACAACCCCAAAGACAGTCCCACAACCACCGCAAACCTTGCAAACAAAAAATGATAGTAAAGTTCACTTAGAACCCAGAACAACGCCTAAATCTACCAGGCTGTTCATCAGGGTTGGGGGAAGCAGCGGCAGTCTGCATGACCCTGTTTCAAACTAGGGTTATTACCCTAACATTGTGGGTTGATACTGTGGATGGACATTTTTTTCCGCACCACCTAAGCAACCAGGGAACACGGTAGGGTTTGTTGGTATTTACAGGGGGGAATCATGAACAATTCGCGGCAATTCCGGCCTGGTGGGGAATTCGGGTTCCCCGTCTAAAAATTGGGGAACCCAACATAACCCAACTTTAATGAGATTGGTGGTCCATTTGTTTTCCCTCACCACAAATCAGCTTCCCACGAACTGGTGATTTGGAGTACTTTGGGGTGGTTCCCCATTTAACCTCTGCAAGAACCAAGGGTTCAAATCCAAACCACCCACCCAAACCACCCATCAATTCCGTGAACAAAGGCTACCGAGCCTCAAAAGCTGAGAACCACGGCTTCAAATGCCACAACATCCAAATCCTAGTGGCCATGGAAGCCAAGGAAAAAGTACACCAGTTGTTTGACACCCGGACTTACAGGGAACTCCCACCCCCCTCCAAGCAAAACAAAAACAAACGGCTTGTCTGACCCCTCAACCAAAAGTGGTTCCTGTGCTTTTCTGTTATACCCCAGCCCCAAAAAAGAAAGAACAAACCCCTTTTAGTGGGGTTTCCATCACTTTTGGAGGGAACATCCCTATTAATAGGATTCCTGGATTTCTTCTGACACGCCAACAAAACGAAGAGAAAGAACAGCTGTTTGGACGGTTTTCTGAAGCCCAAACGAAAGGAGAACCGCCCCAGTTGAACCATTTTCTTCCGAACAAGCCCACCAGAAAACGGCGATCCTCCATTTGCCTAAGTCGCCTCAAAAAATAATCGTTTTTTCCCAGTAGTGACACATGCCCTTTAAAAGCAGGGGCTTGTCTTGCACAAATATTCTCCGTGACTGGAAGCGACTTCCCTGCTGAAAGTTGAAACAACTTGTGGTGGAACTACCACTAAACCCCAACACAATCAAACCAAAAACCACCTAAGGAGGCCCAAGAAACCACCACCCCTAAACCTTCCAAACAAAACCACCCCAAAACCCCAAGAACAACAAAAACAAAACGCCAACCAAAAAAAAACACTCATCAGGCCCAAGCAACCACCCACCCCTAAACCCACCAAAACAACCCATCCACATCGGTGCCCATGATGAATGGCCCGGTGAGATCCACCGACAACACATTCCCAGCCGGGTGTCGCACCCGCCTATGCGGTCGGTCCCGCGCCGAGGCTTCCTGACAGACTCGGCAGTCCCGTCGAAAGGGCAGGTGGCCCATCTTCACGTGCTCCTCCCACGAAAGAGCCTTTACCTTCACCTTTGACTGACCATCCACCTCCTTCCTAAGGCATCTTGCTAGCTCTCTCATCATCCCAGGAGCCCACCGTGCCAACGCCTTTGACGAGCTGAGCTTCTCCTCATCCGTCATCTCCCACCTTGGCTTTTCCACCTCCGGTTCATGACGTTGAGCTTCTCCCTGATGTAGTCTGCAGACGCCCCTCTGAAGTCCATCGTTGTGCCCACCGTCGTAGGCTTCACCGCACGTCCACCCCAGTCTCCCTGCATGAAGGTGACCTCCTTCAAATCATGAAGCTTCTCCAGGGTCTTCCACTCCGGGGTCCTCCACCACGAAGCACATCTCGGCTCTCCCTTGGGTTCCGCCGGCTGCTCCACGAAGAATTCCACCCCACCACCTTCGTTTTCTCTCGCCTTTGCCGTGATGTCCGCCAGCAGGTAAATCAGGATGAAGCGGAACATCAGCACATCGTCTTCTCGGACAATCGCCTTCTCTCCCTCATCCATCTCCGGCAGGCCCCATCGATGCTCCATTGTCCTCACCGGACGTGGCTTAGTCCTGTTGAGCAGCGGGTAGAATCGCAGCACCGATCTCGTCCTGCAGTTCGGTCCCCCCACCACGGCCTTGACTCGGTCATCCAGAGCCAACCGTACCAACCCGCTCATGAGCCCATTGTCCATGAGGTCATGGGTCTCGTCTCGAAGGATGTCGTACTCCAGGATGTCCCGCGGATCTCCACCCTGCTCCTTGTATGCCCTCGAAAGGTCGAACCCCTCCTCCGGACCCGCGAACAGGTGGACCACCGCTCCTCCCTTTTTCTCAAGCCTTCTCCTGCGGCTTCGATTCAGTCCCAGCGGTTTCCAATCCTCCGCCGGCTCAACCATCAGCCTTTGCTTGATCTCCTCCGGTACTTCGTCGAAAACCGGATGCAATTCCACCACCTTCTTCACGAAGTCCCCTTCCTCCCGTCTCGAGAGTGACTTAACCTTGAAGCGGTTCACCCCCTCCAATTCCTGAATCAGGCTGAGTGCCAACTCCCTGGGTACTTCTGGGCACCCTTGACACATCACCACCGGTAGTTGCCCTCGTCCAGGATGTAGGATGGAGCAGGCCTTGCCGCTCCACTTCACCTTGCAGTTCAGGTCCTTCGTAAGCATTCCCATCGGGATTATCGGCTGGGTCTTCCGGTCCTCCGCAATGAGCGTGCCACCCGGGGTCACCTTCAGACTGTAGGTTTCCCCAGCAGCCAACTCCACCGTCCGTTCCTCATAGCCCGAAACGTCCTCGTTCTTCTCCACGGGCCCAACTAGGTCCTCCGGTAGAGAGGTTAGAATAAGTTTGGTACCAACTTTTTTCCGTAGTCGATTCTAGTAGGGGGTTTCCCCTCCCAACCCAAAAAGGGGGTCAAAAAAGAAAGGGCACCTAGCTGGGGGACCTAGCCCTAAACCTTCCAAACAAAACCACCACCCCCAAACCCACCACCTTTAAACCCACCAAAACAAAACCACCCCCCAAAACCCCAAGGAAGAAAAAAAAACACGCCACCCCAAAAAAAAAACGCCACTCCTCAGGCCCGAGGAACCACCCCTAAACCCACCAAAACCACCCGAACCACTTCGCGGCTCCGCCTTGCCGAAGGCCTCCGCGTGCTCCTTGGCCTCCTCGGTGGTGAAGAAGAGCCGCCCCGTCCTTGGCGGCGGCTTCTGATTTTTGGGGGGGGGAGAAAATCGTGGGGGGCTGGAGGGGCTGGAGGGGAGGGAGGGGGGGTGAGGGAGCCCCAATAAGCCCCAAGTAGAAAAAGGGGTTTAATAAGGGCTTATTTGGGCTCCCCCCCCCCCCCCCCCCCCCCCCCCCTCCCTCCCAGCCCCCATGAGAAAGGATGACTTGAGTCAGAACGGTGGTGGGTAAGTGGTTATTAAGGTTGTAACCTAGCTAGCAAGTAATAGTAGGTCTAACCTAGTAGTTCACCACTTGCAACTAGGGTTACTAACCACTTGAGTCAGAATCAAAACCCGGTACTAAAATGGTCTACCCAGAACCATGCTTCAAGAATTAAGAAGGCGGAATTCCGCGGCCATTTATGATGAGGGGATTGGCCCTCACTAACCTTCGTCTACCCGAATCGGTTTTGAGCACGTGGCTCACCTGCCATCGGTCATAGGTGGTCCTTTGAGGGGACATAGATGGGCCCCGTAGATGATGAAGCCAGGAAAACCAGGATTTGTTGGGGGGGGAAATATATAACTTGCGATCGGTGCCTTCAAGAGGACGGTGTCCCTTTCACATAGGTGTCATATGTTTGGTGGGAGGAAAGAGATCACTTGCTGCTCAGCGGTCATTCCCTTGAGGTTTTGAGGTTTTTAGGGGTCCCGTCTCTAGGATCGCTGAGCAACAGCAAGAAATCCCTTGCGATCGGCGCGAAAAAGACGTGATCGGGCCGTCGCTCCCAGTTTAGACTTTGCCGCCTTCGAGGCGACCCGCAGGAAAAAATGCGCACGCGTCCCAAAGAAGCTTGTTTTTGTTTCCCTGCTCGGAGGGAGGTAGGCAATGAGAAATGGAATGCTCCTTGGAAAGACCCTCCCCGATATGGTTCTCTTTGTTCGGGAATCCCCAAACTTTTCATTACATTTCTCATTCACTGCTCAGCACTAGCAAGATAAAAGTTTATTTTTTTAAAAAAAAGCGAGCCGGAGACAGAAACCGGGCGGAGGGGGGAGAGGGGGCGCGAATCCCGCGTCTTGGCGGGGTGAAGTGGGTGGCCAGTTAATTTTGTGGAGGCTACCCGTTTGGCTCTCTGTGTTTTTTCGGGAGACCCAAAGCAAGCCGAAGCCCTTTCTTTGGGCTTCTGAGACAAACGCAATCGAGCCAATGCTGGAGCCTGATTTGATGTTAGCTTTATTCTGGGGGGCCTTCGGTGGACATTCACTGGTTGGTCTGCTGGAATCATGGGACCCACCCAACCACTAACATTGCAGGGCTCCTGTGAACAATATAAATATAGGTTCAATCATGCTTCCCAAGCACCCCCCCGATATGGGGCTCTGTTCATGAAACAAGCAAGATGCATGCCACTGCAATCAATATAAAACATGCTTTGTCTTGCACGTTGAGCAAACAAATGTTCCAACTTTTTCGGCTGCTAGTTGGCGCTCAGTAGGGAAAGCTGGAGCATGCCTTACCCCCTTCTGGTTTTCTGTTGGGAAAATTGACCAGTGGCCTATTTAGCGTTAGCGCCGATTTAACATCATGAAACTTAACAGTCCAGTTGAAAGGTCGATTTGCTTTGGGCTGAGCTTGGGAGGACGCTTTACAGGCGTCTCTCAATTTTGCTTGTTTTTGCACAAAGTGGCAGTTTCAATGGAACCCAGCGGTAGATTGCAACTTTTCAAGGGAACATCCTCTGAAACCTGCTTTAGGACCCACTTCTTCCTTCTTGTTGGGCGCCCTTGCTTGGCACACTTCAGCACCATGTGGCCTCGGCGAGCCGAGCACTCAACGCCGTGTGGGCTTCAAGCTGACCGGACAGTCGGGGTTGCGTTGATAGGAAAACAGTGACCCATGAAGCTGGGTCTGACATTTAAATCATTTAGAGACCCATGCATGTTCTTCGGCAGGTCTTCTTTAGACTAGGGACAAAGTGCAGCCTTGTCTTTACCCTAGCTTCTTTGGCAGGTCTTGCCCTCTTGGGGTTCACTTTAGGGACTCTTTGAGTACGGAGCCCCGAAACGTGGCAACGGTTTCTGTTTCGGGGGTGGCCCTTCGTTACCCTGAGCAATCCGTTTCCAAGGTAAGGAACGCAAGGCCGCTTAAAGCACCCTACCTGGATCCCCAAGTAGCCACTTTTTCCAGCCACTTTACCCACTAGTAGCCCATAATTTGGCAAAAGTAGCTGGAAAATAAAGGCAACTGGGGATCCCAAGTAGCAGGGAGATTGGGTGTGTCTTGCTTCAGGAGCTACACCCTCCAAACCTTGCGGGTGATTTCTCACGGAGGCCGTGCCGGGGTTGACCAAAGACCGCGCAAAAGGAAAACATTGGTGACAAAAGGAAAGCAAAAGGACCTCTTCGACAAATTGTCCACCCGTGGTTTGAGGAAACTATGCGAGTGATTTGAACGAGAAAATGGGTCTTTCATTTTTTGAGGGTACCTCCTTCTTATGCTTTTCAAGGGAAACCAACAAGAAACCCACCTCTCTTTTCTTCGGGGGGGCTCCCCCGAAAAGCGACACAAATGTAGTTTAGTCAACGAGCGAAGAAAAACCAAGGGGGTCCTCACCAGACTGGGAAACCGCCTTCCGTCCTGCCTTTCAACTGCTCCGAAAGGGCTGAGGTCAGCAACCACTACGCCTGTCCAACAGCCATGGAAGTGGACAGGCAGGTTCCCCAAAAGGAAAGTCATCAATCGTGCCACACCTTGCCGTCAGCTTTCATGATGGTCGGAGGATGTCGGAGGGTAAGGTTGCCCTGGCCCAAAGCTGAAACTCCGCAAAAGATCCGCTTGTCATATGGGTGGAGTATATGTCATCAACTCAATCAGAGAAAACTCATTCATCAAGCGCGCATTCACAGATGTTGGGTCGCAAGAAGCGTGAACAAATGTGTGTTCAAGACTTGAATAACAACTAGCAGCTAGCACTTGCCCTCTGCTTGCCTTCCCTCTTGTCTTGGTTCGTTGTTCCCTGGGAGCCCTCCAATCGGGTTCCTCTGCTGGGCGCCTCTGATGATTGATCCCAGCTTCAAAACGCTCACCAAACCGGATGACCAGCGCCCAACACCCAGCTCTTTCTTGTCGGGCTCATAGCAAAATCGATTTAAAGGTGCCATAACCGCCATAACCGCCAAGTAACTATTGTTCTAATGAGAGCTCACCCGTGGTTTGGTCCTTTCGAATTGTTTGATCACTCCGTGGCCCCGCACTCGTCATGGCCGACGAAGCCGCGCGGACCCCGCGCGCCGCGGCGCGGTGGTTGCGGCCCGCCGAGAAATGGCTCGCGGACGGACGGCAAATCATTGAAAGCCCTGATGGGTGAATGCAGAAACATGGCATAACCATAGGTGTCCCTTCAGGGGAAATAGCTGGCCCTGGTAGATGATTGAACCACCAGGTAAACCAGGGCCATCTATTTTTCTGCCAAAACAACCAAAAACGACACCTATGGGCACAACCATCTGGGAAGCCAGCGGCCCAAGGATTCCCTGCTCAGGCCTGGCATTGGTTCAGGAGCACAACCACGGCAGATTTGTATCTGTCTACCGCAACTTCGGAGCCCTGCGAGCTCTTGAAACCCGACACCGAACTTGACCCCGAGAGCTTCCAAACTTCCACCAAAGGGCCCAAGGCTTCCATGGGTGTGTGTGTGTGTCCATACTCGCCGGCATGCGGATTGGGTGAATCACAATCCACCAACCGAAAAAAAAATGGCTCCAAATGAAAATAATCTTCATGGGTGAGGTCGCAAACCCCCAGAAAGTGGGGTCGTTGTGACATGCCCAAAGTGGATGCCGTGAAATGCCAGTTGTCGGGCCCCGGTCAACATAGGTACACAAGACACATAACTAGGTCCTCCAGTAGAGAGGTTAGAATTCATAAGGGTACCCTTTTTATCTGTAGTCTAGTTTAGCAGGGGAACCCACCCACAAAAGAGGGTAAAAGGGCACTACTGGGGGACCTAGATTTAAAAAAAAGGCGGATGTTTCACATGACCCGGAAGCCACGACATCTAAGCTGTGCAAACGACCTGAACGAAGAACGTCCAATGCTGCACGTGGCCGGGAAAAGCATGGGTGATGTAGCACATCGATGTCAAGACAGACCCCACAATGGAGGTCGGCTTTGCTTGTGGCCTTTGAAAAACCAAGGTGAAAAGGGTTACCCTCAAGAAACAGCCACACCCAGCCATATCACTTGACAGGACGACAAGCTCTGTACTCAAAAGTCAGACTTGCCTACATAGACATACCCCAAAATCACTGGGTGATGGATCACACTGGAATACACAAGGCCACTGAAACTACCCCGAAATTTGGCTTGTACCTGGAAGATTCTCATCTTGGACAAGTAGGACATTACAACCACCCCAACACCAACATACACAAAGATGTGAGCCATTGTCAACTTGTGTTCCCTATGGGCATAAGAGAAAAGGTGCTCAAAAAACGGTGTGGACTGGTTGGTCCCAACACGCCTTCCCACAAAAAATAGGGAACACGCCTATACAACGCCTTCCCACGCCACCATTAAGGAGCTCATTTCAAAACTGGTTTAAACACACATTTGAACACGGTGGTGGTCCTACCCTGCGGGTCCCTGCATTGACCCTCTTGGAGGGACCTGTCGCCCAAACTCGTCATGGCCGCAAAGGACCCCGATTCTGCCAAGTCAATCTGAAGGTGATAAGGCAATCATACTGTGGATGGACGAAATCCGTTCGCACCACCTCAGAATCCCTGGAATGATGATTCCCCTGTAAATACCAACAAACAATGGGTTCAAACTGGTGCAGGATTTTGTCCATCCACAGTAGGGAAGATCACGGGTCATGTTCCACGCCTGTTGGAGTCAGGTCGACAATCCATGGTGCCGAACCTTGCCTTCTTGGAACCCGACCCGTTTCGGGTCTGGGCACCAAAAGGTTGTTTAAACGTTTGTTTCATCAAGCTGCTTGAGCAGCAGGTTGACTCGCGCAACCCTTCTGTTGACACCCGGCCATGGGTCAAAATCCAAACTGGTTAGCCGCCAGCGAACATCCCAATCCCGACTAAGATAGGTTCTAAAATGGGTGGTGAATTCACCTACCAACCAAAATGGGATCCCGTTTAACGGTTTTGACAACCACAGCCAGGGACCCTTTTCCAAGAAGTCGAGAGGACTCTAAGCCTGGAGGCTAGTCTTCTTCAATGGCGTAGTCTCATACACCGCTGCCTGGTGGATCACCGAAAAAAGCCGCCAAAGGCAACTCCCTTCCCACCACGGCCAAGAAGAAAATGCGGACGTGGGCCGGTGTGGGCTAAATGGAGGAAACCCGAAACTTGTTGCTTTGGTTTTGCTCTGGTTTCGCTAGACAGGGTACTCGCAAAAGCTACCATAAAAATGGGCTCCCTTTCCCTAAAAAAGCATCACCTGCGATGGACATCCCGAGCCATCCCCAAAGAACTCCGAACTGCCTTGCCTGCTGAGACGATCACCGGCTTGTCCGGCTTGTCCGGCTTGCCTGCTGCAGTCTGTCGTGAACGTGCGCAGTGAAGTGTGTGCGCGGTGTTCAAATGCTCAAAAAAAACGGCCGGTTTTGCGGCGGGCGTTTTTGAATACGGGATCCCCAAGTAAAGGCCTCCAGTTCTGGGGCAATCTTCCAACCATTCTTTCCAGATATCACTCTTTTCAGGAAATGTTAAAAACAACAAAAACAGCAAGAAGCGGCGATCGGTCTCGAAGAAAAGCAGCATGCCTGAAAAGAATGGCTCTAGAACATAGAGCCCTAGATACATGGCAACTGCTCGCTCTTTTCACCCAAACTTCCCCCCCAAAAAAAACAAACAAACCAATCAATACAGATTCACACCACAAAATAGCTCCATCTCCAAAAAACGCAAAAAAAAAAAAAAAAAAAAAAACGGGGCCCTCATAATGCTGCCCTTTCTGCAAAAAAAAACAAAACACGGGCAGCTCCGTCACCCAACTCTTCGCGCGCAACTTCGCGCGTTGATCGATCGGCCTGGAGGCTCAGTGGCATTGGCGGTGGTGGTGGTGTTGGTGACGCTGGTGGTCCTGAGCGACGCGCGGCGCGCCCGGCCGTGGGATTTTTGGTCCCTCGGGGACCCAAGAAACGGACGCCGGCTCAGCTGGAGTTCAAAGGCTCCAATGCTCAACATTCATAGCTTGGGTGGATTGGTGGATTGGCCAATCGGTTTATAGGCTCTTCATCTGTGGGCTCAGCTCATATATATATATATATGCTTTTCATATTTGGTGGATTCGTTTGTTGGCTCACTTCAGTGGATTGGCCAACAACTCTGGACTTGTTGTTCACCAAAGCGGCCTTAGAAGTATCAAGCCCAGAGAAACTGGAGAACTGAAGGGAAGCTTGGCAACATGCGAATGAACAAGAGCAACAATCACCCCGCTTTCACGGGGTTTGTTTTGTTCCTGTCACACATTGGATCCATAGTGACAACTTCAAACCGACCCCTCTAAAATTGAGGTTTAAAGGGAAATACCCCTGTCAAAAGCGAACTGTTCTTCCGCTTCACTGCACCTCATTTTTACGCTTCTGCCAGGTGGCGTCTCTGTGGTTGAAGTCTGGGTCACTGTGGTAGAGGTCGAGGTCACCTTGGCGGATTTGTTTTTGACCAAACTGCACCGTTTCGTTGCACCCAATGAGATTGTATGGGTTCTAGGCTCAGCCATTTCACCTCAGAAACTAAGCTCAAAGGAATCGACCTTCAGCTCATCGGAGAGTCGCATGGAAACCTTTAGTGGTTCTCTCTCAGAGTCGATGCGAAACCTCGTGAAACTAAAACTCAGCATTGCCAGCGTCGTGATGACAATGCGAAAACACAGCGCTCAGCTGTCAAAAACCTCGCGCGAAGCCTGATCACCGCATTTATATGGGTACATATGGATACATTTGTCGTGAGAAAACACATGTTGTTTTCCCGAAGGTACTCTCAGGCTTGGTACAGTTACAACGACCCTCTTGACTCGCCTCAAAACAAACAAACAGCTTGTTCGCTTTTTGGATTCGCTGCCAGGCAAAAATCACACCAATATGGGCCTTCCTACAATCCTTACTGTGGATGGAGAAATCCATTTCGTGTCACCGTTCAGAAACCCTGGAATGATATGATTTTTCTGCAAATACCAACAAACGTTGTGGTTTCAAATTGGTGCGAACGGATTTCGTCTATCCACAGCATTGGAAAAGGCAGCTTGGGATCGGGGAATCTCTGAAATGTGTGGAGTTCCTGTTGTCTGCCATTGGAGTAACACAAAGGGCTACGATGATGACACGCGCAAAAGGGAAGGATTTTTAGTACAGAAGTGGGGTTATAGAAAGCAAACAACGACAACAATACCTAAGTAGTATGTTGCCGGCTAGTGTTGCTTTCTCCCTAACAACCCTGTCAACTGATAGACCTTGCTGCGACTTCTCCAAGGCGCAGTAGTTGTGGTGATGGTTGTGGTAACCTCAGGTCGATCGATCAACACAGGCCAAGGAAATACAGCACTGACATCAACAAAGGAAACCTCAAAGGGGTCCATTTGATGCCTCAACACCGGGCGGGTCTCTGGGCAGAACGTCCTTAGACGTTTCGTTGCTTTGATGGAAAAGACATCTGTTGCCAGCACCAAAGCCATGCTCAAGCGAGCGATGGGTGCTTTCAGGTACCATGTTAATCTGCAACGAAATTAATTTGCTGCTTTCCTTTCCGCGAAAAGCAAAACCAGCAGCAACAAACCCATACAGGTGTGCCGATTTTAAGGGGAACCCCCCCGAAATTAAAAAAAAGGAAAAAAAGGAAAAAAAAAAACAAAGACTGAGCAGAACGTGGTTTGCCGTGTGGTTTTCCATTAAAACCACCAAACAGGTGTGTTTTTTTTTTTTGCTGTTATTTTCATTTTCTCCTGAAACAATACCACATACCCAAACCCCAACCCGAGCACGAGCTGGGACCTCGCTCGGCTCTCCGAGTCCAAGCCATGGGACTCCTGAAGTTGGGTCTTAGGAAGCCACGGTGTTGGAATAAAACCACCTGCCACGGCAGTTGGATCCGGATGCACGAAAAAAACACCTGTAAATGGCGGTTTCCAACTTGTACATGGTGGAAACCCCAACTTTATCTTGGTGTTGAAGAAGCAACATGGTTCAAGTGGTTGCAGAATGTATCTTTTAAGGAGCCCCGGGCAAACATGTCCGATGCCCTCTATGGTCATGGCTAGAGATTCCATGGCTTTTGCTGGGAAGAAAAAAGGGAGAGAGATGGAGTGTACAC